TCACGCATTCACACAGACAGCGCATTCATACAGACACGCACTCACGCTCGGTCATCCCTACACATATAACTGCTTCCCCGACATTAAGTTTATAGGCCTGTCATCGACAGACATGGTACGGCTAGTTTCTCCTCTAGCTTTTAAAGATGTGCGTACCACACGCATGGAATTTAGGAGATCAACTCCTATCTTATTCCTTTTCTTAGATTTTATGTCGGATAGCATCGAAAATATTCTCTCGGACTCAGCATTTGAGTGTGGTAGACACCGTACAGTGCTAAGTAGCGAACTGAGGTGGGGAAACAGAAAATTTTGGGAGGAATTTTTTTGTGTGCAGATGTCTATCCACATATCGTCGAATGATAATGTTGCCCACTTTTCTTTATTTACATCGGAAGTGCCGTAATACAAAAAGTCCCATTCTTTTTGCAAATCTTCGGCATTATCTCGGAACCACGTTGGATAAACCTTCGCATAGGAACGTGTATTCGGTGCAATTGGCGGGCAACGCGGCGCCCGTTTGCTTGTCCTGCAACGTTCTTACTCCTGAGGGTGAGTATTTCCAGTGTGGAGAGTGATTGTCCAGTAATTGGACCACTTTGCGATTCGAGAATCGATGCGGAAATTTGTTTGTTTGCTGTAAATGAAATTTTTATGAAGTGACGACAGTGGGACTTTTTATATACTGGGTGATTCAATTTCTTTTTTTTAGAGTGATTTTATATACTGAGTGATTTTTGCAATTGCACAATTTTCTTTTACGAACGATTTCATATACTAGGTAATTTGATTTTTGCAATTGTACTTTCGTTTAAGAGTGAATTTATGTACTGGGTGATTCGATGTTTGCAGGGACACTTTTTTTTATAAGGGTGATTTTATGTACTGGGTGATTAGATTTTTGCAATTGTATTCTTTTCAATTAATTTTTCTATTAATTATTTTAAATTTCCTTTTTTACGTTGATTTATTCCACTGAATATTCTCTCTATAAAAATAATAGGGCATGATTTAGAAGAATCGATACTTCAAAATTTGAAAATTTGCTTATTTATTGCAAATGGAATTTCGACGAAGTGGGATTTTATATACTGGGTGATTGGATTTTTGCAATTGTTGTTTCTTTTTTTAACGAAACTGCACTTTCTTTATTGTATTAGATATTTCAAAGTCTTTGATAAGCCGTCACATTTCCAACGAAACGCATCGGTTTCATAAATCAGATTTCGCTTGAAAATTTGTTCACTTCCACCTCTCGAATTTATTTCATTTTCAAACTAGAGAAATTCGATTGCCAATTCTTCACCATGTAAATATGAATTATTTGGCAGGAAATCGTTGCACCTACGCGTACGCGTTCTTCTCCAAAAGCAGTTCCTATTACGCGCTGTCATGTTCGGGACCAGATCCGGTGTTCATCGCGATTATGGATGCCAATCACAGACAGCTGTATTCCTGGGAAGACAATGGCCCTCTCAGACGACAATTAGCCGCCCGTAAGCAACCGGTGATCAAGAACCTGAACGTGAAAGCGAATGGCTACAACAATAAAGTCAGACTATACATGCCACCGGATTTCGACGAGAAAAAAGCCTATCCACTGTTAATTAACGTGTAAGTACTGCCGTTTAATCTCCTTGTATTTTTAATACGAACATTTATCCCATCCATCAAACGCAAATACTCCTAGCAAATAACTTTTCAATCAACTCTGTCCAAATATTCGTGCAAACACAGAAATATCATGTATCGTACGATATGAAATGTCTATTCTCATCTTCTCTTATTACACAAATAGATTGAACAGGTACAGTATTTTTATCATGCTAAAAACATCATGTTAAACTTTATCAATTTCATACTACAGAGTGGATTAGATTATACAATCATTGCTCGAAGTATTTGGTGAAGTGTATGTTTTTTTCAATTATGTCGCTATTAACCCCTTGATCTATGATTTCTTTTCTGACTATGCATACAAGCGTCAGCCATTTAATGTTTCAGTACTGCATCAGGTAACAAAAGCTAAACTGTTACAGATTAATTATACTTAGGAATCCTTAATCCTACAAATTAAAACGAAAGTTAGGATTACAATGAATTTTTCTTGCTAATATAACTATTTTTCTCAAATCTTGACCAGATTCTCTGTCACGAGTCTGACACGTTGTTGTAGGTTAAAGGGTTAATGCAAAAGCAGAAACATTTTCTTGAAAGACGAGAAGCATATGTATATACGAAGGAGAAAAAATAAATATACCCTTAACAAGTCAAGATTCGTTCGAATCCACTTTCAGTCAGGTTCGAAAAGTGGCTACTGTTGAATTCTGTGGAAAAATCCAGAAAATCGAGTGGATACTCAATCTTGAGACTTGTATCGGAACTTTGGACGCCATTAAGCGGGCACAATCGATGTACAGGCTAAATAGAAACGCGATTCCCACGGGAAATCGTGGAATCTCTTCTACTCTGTAATTTTTATTTACTTTTTACATTTTTTTTTTATAGTTACGCGGGTCCAAACACAATTAAAATCACGGACGAGGTAACGTACGGTTTCGAGGCGTACATGGTGACCAACAGGAGTGTGATTTACGGTCGAATCGATGGTCGTGGGTCCGCCTATAAGGGAAGCAAGATGTTGTTCGAGATATATCGAAAGTTAGGTACCGTGGAGATCGAGGATCAAATTACTGTTACTAGGTAAATACAATTTCTCTTTTCTTTTTTTTTTTGTATAATTTTGTTTCCACGAGAATTTCTCGACGATTTTCTCAGTTTCACTTTATTATTATTTGATGCTTAACGATTGTAGAATTGGTCATTTGCGTCGGAGTAATATTTTATGCATGCCATATCGGTTACGGAAATATTATCACATTTCGTAGCTATTGAGAATATTCTGTGAAAAAGATTTGATGTGAAATAGAAAAATTTACTCAGAAAGTTATTAAAAAGCTAAATATCTGCATTATTTATGAGAGAATATTGCGAAAATATTCGTTGGCTTTTTAGGATACTGCAGCAAACATATTCGTGGATCGATCCAAACAGAACTGCGATATGGGGTTGGAGTTATGGCGGCTTCGCTACTGCCATGGCATTGGCTACCGACAGAGAGTCTGTATTCAAGTGTGGCATATCGGTTGCACCTGTGACCTCCTGGATTTATTATGGTAATTTCGCGACACGTTGAAAAGTGATTAATCCAAGCAAACAGGGTAATATAATTGCCTAACATTCGTTCGAAAAGTCCTACAATTTTAGATCCCCAATTTTCGCAAACTTTCAAGTATCCGTTTTAAAATTTCACCCGGTACAATTCACTCTCAGCAGCAACAAAAACGCTAATTAAGTACGAAATCCATTTTCACGGGATTCCACAGTCTTCCATCTCAAATACCTGATCGTTATCGAAATAATAGCATCTTCTATTAAATACACCCGTTTGAAAATCCTCTTTAATACAACACACTGTCATTACAATCCACTCTCAGAAACAAGAAAAACACAAATTGGCTCGAGAATCCATTTCCATGGGATTCCACTGCCTCTCGTCTACAAATTTCAATCAAAAACCTGATCGGTATCGAAATATGAGCATCTCTATTAATTACACCCATTCGAAAATCCTCTTTCATAATTCAATATCATTGCAATCCATTCTCAGAAGCAACAAAAACACTAATTATCTCCAGAATCCATTTGCATGGGATTACACAGCCTTTCATCTACAAATTTCATTGAAAAACCTGATCGATATCGAAATAAAGTCATCTCTGTTAAATACACCGATTCGAAAATCCTCCTGTAAAACACAATATCGTTACAATTCACTCTCAGAACGAACAAAAGCACGAATTAGCCCCAGAATCCATTTTCACGAGATTCCACAATTTTCCATCTCGAAAATCTGATCGATGTCGAAACAACAGCACTTCCATTAACACGTTGACTGCCACGCCGAAATCACATGTTTTGCTCAGGACGCCACGAAAGTATTGTAAGAAACACTCGACAACAAAGAACTAATATCCGGATAGTGCGGTATCCCAAAATAACTTATTCTTTATTTCTAAGCGCTTCTTAAGATTTCCGGCGTCCGTCTTGCTCGACGGCTATTTCCAGAATGTCCTTTCCGCGTCGTATCCCACGTTGCTCCGAAAAACCGTTGGAGCCCCCTCGTTCGACTTTCCAGAGAAAGGGCTCAGTTTATGGGACCCTCAGGTACCCGCGCGCTTTCTCTTCCTGGGTGACAAATTCCAGGCCACCACTTTACCGCCGGAATCTCGCATTTCTTACAAAATCTTCATATTAATGTCAAATTTAACTGCTTAAATTTGGTTAAAATGAAGAAAATTGTCAAAATCGTTATTGACGCGTTGAGTATTCTAGCGTCCTATCCTACCATCGTACGCGTTATTCAAATTTTTTATTATTTACATTGTTATTTAACTACCTAATGAAAATTACAAAACAAAAATAAAAGAGAAATTTTGAATGTATGCAAAGTTATGATATTTGTCTCCGAAACCCCTGTGTGGGAAACAGCCGCTACGATTTTGCCGGTATTTCCGCGAAACTGATGAACAAATTTTTCAAACAAAAGTTAATCAGTATTCAGTTGACAGTAAATCGTGTTAACGAAAATTTCCAAAAAAAAAGAAATATTCGATAAAAAATAAAGATCACTACAATTTTTTTTTAAATGAAACCATATATTTTTTTATGTGCCAATCAATGCATATTTGAATTCTCTTCAAAAAAGTATTAGAGAACTTAGGTCGAAAATTGATTAATTTAGAAATTATGATTTTTGTCCCGAACGCCCATATACTCGAAACACTTCGTCTCACCGAGATTCAAAGGGAATCTCCTAGTTCTTACTCATGCGCTCAGGTTGCTCGAGCGTCACATGGTGACGTAATAATTGGCGGAAAGAGCCGAATAGGCTTCACACACGATCAGAGCTACCTCTGCACTTGAGTGAGAGCACGAGGATGGTATAGTGGGGGACCCACGGCCCACGATTCTGACATCACTGGTCGGTGTGGAGTGGAAAGGAAATTAAAAATATGTATGGCACAATATCGCAGGGAGAAAGGAAACGTGAAAGAAGT